CCCGGGAGGCGGAGCTTGCAGTGAGCTGAGATCTGGCCACTGCACTCCAGCCTGGGCAACAGAGTTAGACTCCGTCTCAAAAAAAAAAAAAAAATTAAAAATTGATCGTTTTAAAGCTCATGATTCAGTGGCAGAGTCCATTCATAATGTTCTGCAACCCCACATCTATCTAATTTGAAGACATTTTCATCACCGTGAGAGGAAATCCTACTCCGTTAAGTCAACCCCCATTTTCATCCCTCTCCCCCAACCCCTGGTGACCACATATCTACGTCCTGTGAAAATTTACGTGTTCTAAACATCTCTCTCTTTTTTTTTTCCTTTTCTTTTTTGAGCAGGGTGCCATTCTTTCACCTAGGTAGAGTGCAGTGGTACAATCATAGCTCACTGCAGCCTTGACCTCCCAAGTTTGAGCAATCCTCCTGCCTCAGCCTCCTGAGTACTTGGAACTAGACATGTACCACCACACCCAGCTAATTGTTTTGTATTTTTAGTAGAGATGGGCTTTCGTCATGTTGCCCAGACTGGTCTCAAAGTCCTGGGCTCAAGGAACCTGCCCGCCTCAGCTTTTCAAAGTGCTGGGATTACAGGCATGAGCCACCACACCCAGCCAACATTTCATGTAACTGGAATCACACACTGTGTGGCCTTTTGTATCTGGCATCTCTCACTGAGCATGATGTCTTCAAGGTGCATCCATGCTGTGGTCTGTGTCAGAGCCTCGTTCCTTTTCAGGGCTAAATAGTATTCCATTGAATGGATATACCACATTTGTTGATTCAGTCAGCTGTTAATGGACTGGTTGTTTGTTTTTGAGATGGAGTCTCACTGTGTCCCCAGCCTGGAGTGTAGTGGTGCGATTTCGGCTCACTGCAAACTTCGCCTCCTGGGTTCAGGCGATTCTCTTACCTCAGCCTCCCAAGTAGCTAGGATTATAGGCATGTGCCACCACGTCCAGCTAATTTTTGTATTTTTAGTAGAGACAGGTTTCACCATGTTGGCCAGGATGATCTCGATCTCTTGACCTCATGATCTGCCCACCTCGGCCTCCCAAAGCGCCGGGATGACAGGCGTGAGCTACTGCGCCTGGCCGTCAATGGACTCTTGAATTGTTTCCACTTTTTGGTTTTTATGAATTATGCTCCTATGAACATTCAAGTATGAGTTTTCGTGTGAACAGATGTTTTCATTTCCTTTGGGAATCCGCTCCATTTTGATCTTTGCCATGAACAGGAGGAGGGTGACATCTGATTCCTCCTTTACCTCCAAGCCCCGTAGATGCACTGGAGACGCAGTGGTTACGCAAAAACATTTGATGAATGGAGAAAAGAGAGAGGGAGGAAAAGAGAGAGGGAAAAAAACATTTGATGCATGGGTGAATGGGCAAAAGAGAGGGAGGGAAAGGGAGAGGGAAAAAGCGTAAATAGGTTTATGCCCCCAAAAGGTTACCAGCTCGTGCCCTAAGTGGAACAGAAATGAGGGGAATAAATCTTTTTTTTTTTGAGACAGAGTCTCACTTTGTTGCCCAGGCTGGAGTGCGATGGCGCGATCTCGGCTCACTGCAACCTCCACCTCCAGGGTTCAAACGACTCTCGTGCCTTAGCCTCCCGAGTGGCTGAGACTGCAAGCACGCACCACCACGCCCAGATAATTTTTGTATTTTTTAGTAGAGACTGGGTTTCACCATTTTGGCCAGGCTGGTCTTGAACTCCTGACCTCAGGTGATCTGCCCGCCTCGGCCTCCCAAAGTGCCAGGATTACAGACATGAGCCACCACGCCCGGCCAATAAATCATTTTTTTAAAGGAAAGGAACACGCATTCCACCGCCCTTCCTGTCTAAACAGCTTGCCTTGCAGCTGAGCCAGGAATGTTGAGTTACAGAGATGAATTAAGCTGTAGCCTGGCTTCCCTGAGTCAGCACGCCCTGCCGCTAGGACCTCTGGCAGCTCCATGCAAAATGTTCTGCCCGGAATGGAATATTTCCCAGGGTAGCCAAAGAGCCAGAGCTCCTGGGTCAAACTCGGGCGGCAAGGGCTGTGGCTTCAAGAAGTGGTCCGGGGCCAGGTGCAGTGGCTCACCCCTATAATCCCAGCATTTCCGTCTCATAAAAAAAAAGAAAAAGTTGCAAAGTTAGTACAAGAATTCCTGCAGACTGGGCACCTGTTTTCTCCCATAATTAACATCTTATATTAGCTGTGTATATTTTATATTTGTCACAATTGATGAATCAATATTGATACTATTGGTTATTGATAACCAACACTGATCAATAACGATATCAATGTTGGTTATTAGTTGCCAAAGTCCACGCTTTTTTAGATTTTCATAGTTTTTCCTAATGTCCTCTTTTGCTTTTTTCTTTTCTCTCGTTTTTTTTTTTTTTTTTTTTTTTTTAAGAGACAGGGTCTCACTCTGTCATCCAGGCTGGAGTGCAGTGGTACGATCATACCTCACTGTAGCCTCCACCTCCCGGGCTGAAGCAGCCCTCCCACCTCAGCCTCCAGCGTAGCTGGGACTACAGGCACCACCATGTCCAGCTAATCTTTGTATTTTTTGTAGAGACGGAGTTTTGCCGTGTTGCCCAGGCTGGCCTACTGTCCTTTTCCTTCTGCCCCACAACCCCATCCAGGATCCCAGATGACATTTAGTTATCACATCTCCTGACACTCCTCTGGACTGTGGCGGTCTCCCTGTCTTTCTTGTTTTGATGCCCTTGATATTTTTCTTTGTTTGCTTGTTTGTTTTGAGACGTAATCTCGCTCTGTCACCCAGCCTGGAGTGCAGTGGCACGATCTCGGCTCACTGCAACCTCCGCCTCCTGGGTTCAAGCAATTCTCCTGCCTCAGCCTCCTGAGTAGCTGGGATTACAGGTGTCCTCCACCACGCCTGGCTAATTTTTGTATTTTTAGTAGAGACGGGGTTTCACCATGTTGTCCAGGATGGTCTCGAACTCCTGAGCGCAAGTGATCCTCCCACCTCAGCCTCCCAAAGTGCTAGGATTACAGGCGTGAGTCACTGCGCCCGGCCCATCCTGTATTTTTTGGAATGACATCACTACACACAGCCTACAGAGAGTTATCCTTCATATTCTTCTTTTTTTTTCAGATGGGGTCTTGCTCTGTTGCCCAGGCTGGAGTGCAGTGGCACAATCTCAGCTCACTGCAAGCTCCGCCTGCCGGGTTCACGCCATTCTCCTGCCTCAGCCTCCCGACTAGCTGGGACTACAGGCGCCCGCCACCTCGCCCGGCTAGTTTTTTGTATTTTTTAGTAGAGACGGGGTTTCACCGTGTTAGCCAGGATGGTCTCGAACTCCTGACCTCGTGATCTGCCCGCCTCGGCCTCCCAAAGTGCTGGGATTACAAGCGTGAACCACCCACCGTGCCCAGCCTATCCCTCGTCTTCTTGAGGGCAGATCTGTACATAAACTATTTTCAATTCTTCTGCACAAGAAATGTGTCTCTTCTCCGCTGTTTATTTGTTCAGTGACTTATCTATATCCGTATGGACTCGTAGACATGTATTTCCTCTCTTGGGTGATATCAATATTGCATTATGTATTTGGTTGCACAAACTGGTTCACCATTGACACAGAGATCTCTTCTGGTTGACTCAGGTTTTTGTGGGGTTTTTTATTTATTTATTTTTAACACTTTTTGCTGCATTTGAGAGTCAACAGCTCATCAGAGACCAAATCTCGCAGGGTTGCCCTAGAGAGAATTCAACTTCTTAACATATTTCCAAGTTTTTGAAGTCATGTGCTCTCTGGGGAAAACCTTCATTCTCCTCAAGCCATCCAAAAATCTCCAAAAATCTTAATATTAATTTGATGATTAAAAGGAGCCCTGGCCGGGCGCGGTGGCTCAAGCCTGTAATCCCAGCACTTTGGGAGGCCGAGACGGGCGGATCACGAGGTCAGGAGATCGAGACCATCCTAGCGAACACGGTGAAACCCCGTCTCTACTAAAAAAATACAAAAAACTAGCCGGGCGAGGTGGTGGGCGCCTGTAGTCCCAGCTACACAGGAGGCTGAGGCAGGAGAATGGCGTAAACCCGGGAGGCAGAGCTTGCAGTGAGCTGAGATCCGGCCACTGCGCTCCAGCCCCGGCGACAGAGCGAGACTCCATCTCAAAAAAAAAAAAAAAAAAAAAAAAAAGGAGCCCTTCAGCCCTGATGCATTATAATTTTCTTCCTCTGCTAAAGAAAAAACATGCTGGCCAGGCGCAGTGGCCATCACGCCTGTAATCCCAGCACTTTGAGGCCGAGGTGGGTGAATCACAAGGTCATGAGTTCGAGACCAGCTTGGCCAATATGGTGAAACTCCGTCCCTACTAAAAATACAAAAATTAGCCGGGCGTGGTGGCGGGCACCTGTAGTCCCAGCCACTTGGGAGGCTGAGGCAAAAGAATTGCTTGAACCCGGGAGACGGAGGTTGCAGTGAGCCGAGATTGCGCCATCGTACTCCATCCAGCCTGGGTGACACAGCGAGACTCTGTCTCAAAAAAAAAAAAAAAAAAAGAACGAATGAACGAACAAAAAGAAAAAGAAAAAACGTGCTGCTTGTGGTGGCTCACGCCCGTAATCCCAGCACTTTGGGAGGCCAAGGTGGGAAGATGGCTTGAACCCAGGAGTTCAAGAGCAGCGTGGGAAACATAGCGAGATCCCATCTCTACAAAAAACTACAAAATTAGCTAGCCATGGTGGTGTGTGCCTGCAGTCCCAGCTACTCAGGAGGCTGAGGCAGGAGGATCTCTTGAGCATAGGAAGTTGAGGCTGTAGTGAGCCATGATCACGCTACTGCACTCCAGCCTGGGTGACAGAGTGAGGCTCTGTCTCCAAAAAAAATGTATATATTTAAGTCCAGTGATTCTCCAGAACTAACTGCGTTTTGCTTTTGTTTTTGTCTGACTTGCCTGGCTGGACCTGTCTGGGCGACTCCACTGTCCTCTGACTGAATCTCTGGTGCCCGGCGACTGATGCCCATTCCTGGATGGGTCCGTAGGCCGCTCCCAGAAGAGACGGGGGTGGAATTGCTTGGCAGCCCAGTAGAAGACACATCCTGTAAGTTTCCACGTCCACAGAAGGGCAGAAATGGGCTCAGTGCTTCTGGGTTTCAGCCCTGCCTGGGGCTGTAACTGTAGAAATGTCACAGGCCACACCGTGGGCAGAATGTTCCGTCCTGGGGTCTACGGTGGAAGTGGCTGTGGTGGGTGAGAGACACAGTGGACAATGGCGCTGTCGTGAAGCCAGCACGCTGTGTTGCTGTGTGTCCCTGTGCTAGTCACTCAGCTTCTCTGTGCCTCCAATGCCTCATCTACTAAATGTAGGTAGTGAGCTTCTCGCAGAGGGGGCATGTAAGGATTAAATGAGGTGATGCCAAGCGCCCTGGAGGCACAAAGTCAGCACAGCCAAGGGCACCCTGGGAGGCTCTGCTATCCAGAGCTCTAAACATATACATTTTAAGGTATAATACATTATATTGGACCCAAATATATACATTTTTTAGGAGACCAGGTCATAACTCTGTCATCCAGGCTGGAGTGCAGTGGCGTGATCCTTCCTTTATTTATTTATTTATTTATTTATTTATTTTTGAGATAGAGTTTCGCTCTGTCACCCAGGCTGGAGTGCAATGCTATGATCTCAGCTCACTGTAACCTCTGCCTCCTGGGCTCAAGTGATTCTCCTGCCTCAGCCTCCCAAGTAGCTGGGATTACAGGTGCCCACCACCACAACTGGCTAATTTTTGTATTTTTAGTAGAGACGGGGTTTCGTCATGTTGGCCAGGCTGGTCTCGAACTCCTGACCTCAGGTGATCCGCCCGCCTTGGCCTCCCAAAGTGCTGGGATTACAGGCGTGAGCCACCGCAGCCAGGCCAAAGTCAGGCTTTGAACTCATGTCTACCCAATGTCCAAGCATCCATCTTTAATCTCTGAGGCAAGTGCCCCGCCCCTGCCCACAGGACAGTGGTTATAACATTCACCCCGTCAGGATGATGCCTGCTTAATTCTGCCCGCCCCCAACAATGGCATGGACACAGAAGGGAGCCTACCCTCTCTTCCCCATTCCTGTATGATAAAACAGCTTCCACCAGGTAGGAAAACGGGGAGGAGGTAAAAGAGAGAAAGCAAAGATTTTTTCCGTGTTTCTCATTTCCCTGCAGCTCCTCCCAACACGCTAAACTTCAACGGAGCGCATCGTAAGAGGAAGACGCTGGTGGCCCCAGATATAAACATTTCTCTGGATCAGAGTGAGGGATCCCTGCTGTCTGATGACTTCTTGGATACCCCTGATGACCTGGATATTAACGTGGATGACATCGAGACCCCCGATGAGACTGACTCGCTGGAGTTCCTGGGGAATGGCAACGAACTGGAGTGGGAAGGTAAAGTTCGGGGTCTCTCGGGGGCTTGCGGGAGGGCCCCCACCTTTCTGTCTCTGGATTCCTATGGGCTCAGAGAGTCACAAGTGGGGCAGGGGCTCTAAGCTATCTAGCCTTAAATCCAGGAGATCAAGGCTGCAGTGAGACGTGATCATGCCACTGCACTCCAGCCTGGACAACAGAATGGGACCCTGTCTTAAAAATAAAATTTTTGCTGGGCGCGGTGGCTCATGCCTATAATCCCAGCACTTTGGGAGGCCGAGGCAGGTGGATCACAAGGTCAGGAGATCGACCTCATGATCACCGTGGCTAACACGGTAACACCCTGTCTCTACTAAAAATACAAAAAATTAGCCAGGCATGGTAGTGGGCACCTGTAGTCCCAGTGACTCGGGAGGCTGAGGCAGGAGAATGGGGTGAACCTGGGAGGCGGAGCTTGCACTGAGCCGAGATCATGCCACTGCAGTCCAGCCTGGGCGACAGAGCGAGACTCCATCTCAAAAAAATAAAATAAAATAAAATAATAAAATAAAATAAATAAAATAAAATAAAATATTTAAAAAAGAGTGAGACCCTGTCTCAAAAATAAATTTTTTTTTTTTTTTTTTTTTTTTTTGAGACGGAGTCTCCCTGTGTCGCCCAGGCTGGAGTGCAGTGGCGCGATCTCGGCTCACTGCAAGCTCCGCCTCCCGGGTTCACACCATTCTCCTGCCTCAGCCTCCGAGTAGCTGGGACTACAGGCACCTGCCACCACGCCCAGCTAGTTTTTTGTATTTTTAGTAGAGACGGGGTTTCACCGTGTTAGCCAGGATGGTCTCGATCTCCTGACCTCGTGATCCGCCCGTCTTGGCCTCCCAAAGTGCTGGGATTATAGGCTTGAGCCACCGCGCCCGGCCTAAAAATAAAATTTTTTAAAAAGAGAGCGAGGTGGGGCTGGGCGCCATGGCTCACGCCTGTAATCCCAGCACTTTGGGAGGCTAAGGCAGGCAGATCGCGAGGTCAGGAGATCGAGACCATCCTGGCTAACACGGTGACACCCCGTCTCTACTAAAAATACAAAAAGTTAGCCGGGCGTGGTGGCAGGTGCCTGTAATCCCAGCTACTCGGGAGGCTGAGGCAGGAGAATGGCGTGAACCCGGGAGGTGGAGTTTGCAGTGAGCCGATATCACACCACTGCACTCCAGCCTGGGCGACAGAATGAGACTCTGTCTCAAAAACAAAAAAAAGAAAAAAAAAGAAAGGGAAGGAGGGAGGGAGAGAGAGAGCAAGAAAGAAGGAAAGGAAGGAAAGAGAGAGAAAAAGAAAGAAAAGAATTAAGGACCGGCCAGCACGGTGGCTCAAGCCTGTAATCTCAGCACTTTGGGAGGCCAAGACGGGCGGATCACGAGGTCAGGAGATCAAGACCATCCTGGCTAACACGGTGAAACCCCGTCTCTACTAAAAAATACAAAAAACTAGCCGGGCGAGGTGGCGGGCGCCTGTAGTCCCAGCTACTCGGGAGGCTGAGGCAGGAGAATGTCGTAAACCCGGGAGGCGGAGCTTGCAGTGAGCTGAGAACTGGCCACTGCAGTCCAGCCTGGGCGACAGAGCGAGACTCCGTCTCAAAAAAAAAAAAAAAAGGAATTCAGGACAATGCAGTGTCTCATGCCTGTAATCCCAGAGCTTCGGGAGGCCAGGGTAGGAGGATTGCTTAAGGCCAGGAGTTTGAGACCAGCCTGGGCAACATATCGAAACCTTATCTCTACAAAAATACAAAAATTAGCTGGGTGTGGTGGTGCCCAACTGTAGTCCCAGGTATCTGGGAGGCTGAGGCATGAGGACCGCTCTCTGTGTGCCAGGCTCCTGGGAGAGTAGAACCCAGGCACACATGTCCCGAGTGCCCTCGTGGTTTGATGAAGCAGATGCGTTCACCAGCTCTGAGAAGCTCCAGGACACAGGTCCTTAACCAACAGAGCACCCTGGGAGGCCAGCAAAGGGAATGTCCAGAAAGGCTTCCTGGAGGAGGCGGCATTTGAGCCAGGCCTTGAAGCGGGAGTGGGAGAGGAAAATGGGTCAGCAGGGCAGCCAGGTGGGGAGAAGAGAAGGACGTGTGGGTTCCGGCACCAAGGGACACGGGAGAGGGGAAGGAAGGCTGAGCGGGAGGGCGGGAGGTATCTGGACTCGCATCCATGCGACTCTTCCCCTCCTGCTTCTAGATGACACCCCCGTGGCCACCGCCAAGAACATGCCCGGGGACAGCGCAGATCTATTTGGGGACGGCACGACGGAGGACGGCGGTGCCGCCAACGGGCGCCTGTGGCGGACGGTGATCATTGGGGAGCAAGAACACCGTATAGACCTGCACATGATCCGGCCTTACATGAAAGTGGTCACCCACGGAGGTGAGACCTGCCCCTTGGCGCCCCCTTGGGGCTCCAGCCCGGCCCGTGGGGCATCAGGAGGCTCGTCAGTGCCCCTCTCTGAACCTCAGTCTCTTTGTCTGATGCACTGGGATGTTAAGCCGTCAACTCGCTTGGGGTGGACGGACTATGGGCAAGGTGTGCATGGCCAGGCAGGCGCAGTGAGGGCTCCTGATGGTCACTGTCACTCCCCAACAAAGGCAGAGACTGGCTGAGGGGTCACTGGCTACTGTGGCTCAGAGCCTTGCCCTCCGGAGCGTGTGGGCACCGACTGGCTGAGGGGTCACTGGCTATTGTGGCTTAGCGCCTTGCCCTCCCGAGCGTGTGGGCACCGGGACGTGGTGGGTGGTGCGCAGGAGGCAGCTCAGGGCTGGGAGAGGAGTCTGACGTTGCCGACCAGCTGCCTCTCCGCAGGGTACTATGGCGAAGGCCTCAACGCCATCATCGTCTTCGCAGCCTGCTTCCTTCCAGACAGCAGCCTCCCCGACTACCACTACATCATGGAGAACCTCTTCCTGTGAGTCCCCGCCCGCGTGGGCAGCCTTGGGCCAGCTCTGACGCCTCCCTGGACGCAGGGGCACCAGGTTGCAAGGATTGCATTGTGGGCCTAGGAAGCCTGCCTGGCACCAAGGAAGGGCGTGGCGGCCACAGACCTTGATCTGAGTCCCTGCTGGCCCTGAGGCTCACAGTGGCTTTCCTTCTGGGCCACCCTGTTCTCCTCACCGTCCTCCTCCTCTTCCTCCTCCTCCCCTTCTTCCTTCCCCCTCCTCCCCTTTCTTCTCCTCCTCCTCCCCCTCCCTCTTCCTCCTCCCCCTCCCCTTCCTCCCTCTCCTCCTCTTCCTTTTCCTCCTCCCCTTCCTCTCTCTTCTTTTCTCCTCTTCCTCCTTTTCGTCCTCTTGTCTATCATTTACTGAGCAGTTACTCTGTGGCAGCCGTGGGCTAAAGGGTTCCCATCTGCTAACACATCCCACCCTGACCACAGCCCTGTAAGGCAGACGCCATTCCCTCCATTCTACGGGTGAGCACCCTGAGCACAGAGAGGTTGAGTCACTTGCCCAAAGACACACAGGTGTCATTTTATGATGACAGATACAGGCAATACGCACACAGCACCTGATAGCTGATATGAAGAGCTCATCAATCATGACAACTCTTATCATTGTTATTAGTAAGATTTCCATCTTCAAGCCGGGCACAAGGCCTCACGTCTGTAATCCCTACAGTTTGGGAGGCTGAGGTGGGAGGATCGCTTGAGTCCAGGAATTTGAGACCAACCTGGCCAACATGGTGAAACCCCATCTCTACTAAAAATACAAAAATTAGCCAGGCATATTAGCGGGCGCCTGTGGTCCCAGCTACTTGGGAGGCTGAGGCAGGAGAATCGCTTGAACCCGGGAGGCGGGGGTTGCAGTGAGCCAAGATGGCACCACTGTATTCCAGCCTGGGTGACAGTACGAAACTCCGTCTCAAAAAAAAAAAAAAAAAAAAAAAAAAAAAAGCAAGGTCTAGAGACCAGCCTGGCCAACATAGTGAAACCCTGTCTCTACTAAAAATACAACAACTTAGCTGGGCTTGGTGGCAGGTGCCTTTAATCCCAGCTACTAGGGAGGCTGCGGCAGGAGAATCGCTTGAACCCGGGAAGCGGAGGTTGCAGTGAGCCAAGATCACACCACTGCTCTCCAGCCTGGGCGACAAGAACGAAACTTCATCTCAAAAAAAAAAAAAAGCAAGACTCAATAAAAGGGTAACTGCCCTAGGAGGCTGCCCGCTGACACTCATGTGGAGTGTGCTGGGATCATCCATGTCCGCTCCCACCCTGCAGTCCGCCAGGACAGCAGACAACACCAGGACCAGTGCGGCTGGCCCAGCCAGGGCAGGGGTGGAGGCACGCGGGGTCGGCACCACAGGTGTCCTGACGCTGGACCCCTCCATGTTGGGTCCCTGCCTTCTGTGCCCCGTGAGCAGGTACGTCATCAGCAGCTTAGAGCTCCTGGTGGCTGAGGACTACATGATCGTGTACCTGAACGGCGCCACGCCCCGGCGAAGGATGCCGGGGATCGGCTGGCTGAAGAAGTGCTACCAGATGATCGATCGGAGGTGAGGTGGGGATGCCTCAGGAAGCACAGTGGGGGCATGAAAATCACACAGGGGGCCGGCCTTGGTGGCTCACACCTGGAATCCCAGCATTTCGAGAGGCTGAGGTGGGAGGGTCCCTTGAGCCCAGGAGTTTGAGACGAGCCTGGGCAACACAGCAAAACCCTGTCTCTACAGAAACACTTATAGGCTGGGCGAGGGGGATCACACCTGTAATCCCAGCACTTTGGGAAGCCAAGGTGGGCGGATCACCTGAGGTCAGGAGTTCAAGACCAGCCTGGCCAACATATAGTGAAATCCTATCTCTACTAAAAACATTCAAAAATTAGCTGGGCGTGGTGATGAATGCCTGTAGTCCCAGCTGCTTGGGAAGCTGAGGCAGGAGAATCACTTGAACCCAAGAGATGGAGTATGCAGTGAGCCAAGATCATGCCACTGCACTCCAGCCTGGGCGACAGAGCAAGTCTCTGTCCCCATGAAACAGTCACTCCCAATTCCTTCTCCCCAGGCCCTGGCACCCCCCATCCTACGTTCTGTCTCAGTGAATCTGATGACTCTAGGGACCTCCTAGGACTGGAATCACACAGGATTTGTCCTTTTGTATCTGGCTTTCCTCACTGAGTGTGACGTCCTCAGGGTGCATCCACATTGTAGGCTGTGTCAGAGCCTCCTTCCTTTTCATGGCTGCATAATATTCCATTGCATGGACGTACCACATATGGTTTGTCCATTTCATTCATCTTGATGGGCAAGGGCTGCTTCCAACCCCGGGTTATCGTAAATAGCCTCAGAGTGACATTAAAACTGAGCCAGCAAATCCGTCCTTGCACCCAGGTTAGTGGAGGGAGGCTCCAAGGACAGGCTGGTCCCTCCTAGGGCATTAGGTGGTGAAAATACAATCTTGGCTGCTCAAATAACTGCCAACCTGGTTCACCTGCTCTGCACCACGAGGTCTCTATCTACCTCATCCACCTTGGGGTCTTAGGGACTCAAAGGGTGTGTCTTTATCCCACCATGGGACCCCCATGTCTTGGATGGGGGCAGGGATTTGACAGGTACCTGGAGACCACATGTGAAATGAGCAAAGTGACGAATGCTTGCCTGTGGCTCTCCCGTGCCACCCAACTCCTCCCTCCCGAGGGCTCGCCCCAGGAGCCCATCTTGCTTCCTTTGCGGCCCCACACAGATTGCGGAAAAACCTGAAGTCCTTGATCATCGTCCACCCCTCGTGGTTCATTCGGACTGTGCTGGCCATCTCTCGCCCTTTCATCAGGTAAGATGAGGAGGCTACAACCCGAGTCTGGTGGCCTGAGTGTGTGTGAGTGTGTTTGTGTGTGTATGCATGCATTTGTGTGTACATCTGTGTGTGCACATGTGTACGTGTGTGTGCATCTGTGTGTGTGTGCATCCATGTGTGTGTTTGATCTGCATGTTCCAGCTTCTCTATGATGATACGTATTATTGCTTTAAACAGTTTTAAATTGCACACAGCCAGGCACCGTGGCTCACACCTGTAATCCCAGCTACTCAGAAGGCTGAGGTGGGAGGATCGTTTAAGGCCAGCCTGAGCAACATAGCAAAACCCCCATCTCTACAAAAAATACAAAAATTAGCAGGACATGGTGGTGTGCACCTGTAGTTTCAGCTACTTGGGAGGCTCATGTGGGAGGATGGCTTGAGCCCAGGAGGTCAAGGCTGCAATGAGCCGTGATCAAGCCACTGTACTCCAGCCTGGGTGACCGAGTGAGACCCTGTCTCAAAAGAAAATCAGCCATGCATGGCATCACACGCCTGTAGTCCCAGCTACTCAGGAGGCTGAGGCAGGAGGATCACTTGAGCCCAGGAGGTAGAGGCTGCAGTGAGCCTGGGAGACAGAGCAAAACCCTGTCTCTAAAAATAAAAAATATATATACATAAATAAATAATATGATTAATTAACAACAAATTTAAAATGTAAAACTATATTCTATAATGTGTATCATAGTTAACTACGTTAAGCATAGAGTAAAACAGATCAAGGGAAATAAAATTAGGCATGTTAAATGCCTTATTCAATCCAATAAAATGTCATGCAAATTTAATTTAATCTGATGCAAAACACTGAATTGAATAAAGATTCCTAATGTTCATGTTCCCAGTTACAAATCTGGGATGAGTGAAAGAGACGACAGGACACATTCACAGCAGGCACGATTTTCAAGGCAGACTCTTTGAACATGCTGTTTTCAAGGACTGCTAAGTACCCTGAAGGGGTTTATTTACATATTAGCAAAATGAGATGAGGAATACACTAATTATGGATCATTTGCACTAATAATGAATCACGCAGGCAAAATGGCAAACACGCATTTCAGTCTAAGAGAATTGCACTTTCTCCTCTATATTCCAGAATTCAGAAACATAGATTGCCTTTGCCTTTTTTTTTTTTTTTTTTTTGAGACGGAGTCTCGCTCTGTCGCCCAGGCTGGAGTGCAGTGGCCGGATCTCAGCTCACCGCAAGCTCCGCCTCCCGGGTTTACGCCATTCTCCTGCCTCAGCCTCCCAAGTAGCTGGGACTACAGGCGCCCGCCACCTCGCCCGGCTAGTTTTTTGTATTTTTAGTAGAGACGGGGTTTCACCGTGTTCGCCAGGATGATCTCGATCTCCTGACCTCGTGATCCGCCCGTCTTGGCCTCCCAAAGTGCTGGGATTACAGGCTTGAGCCACCGCGCCCAGCCCACCTTTGCCTTTAATGCAGATATTGGGTTGGTGCAAAAATAATGGGAGTTCTTGCCACACTTTTCATTACAAAAACTACAATCACTCTTGCACCAACCCAATAATTCTATTCTTCACAGGGCGCCATGGCTCATGCCTGTAATCCCAACACTTTGGAAGGTCGAAATGAGAGAATCACTTGAGCCCGGGAGTTCAAGACCAGCCTGGGCAACATAGCAATACCCTGTCTCTACAAAAAAAAAAAATTTTTTTTAATACGGCCGGGTGTGGTGACTCAGGCCTGTAATCCTAGCATTTTGGGAGGCTGAGGCAGGTGGATCACTTGAGGTCAGGAGTTCCAGACCAGCCTGGCCAACACAGCAAAACCCCATCTCTACTAAAAATGACAAAAATTAGTGGTGGCTCACGCCTGTAGTCCTAGCTACTCGGGAGGCTGAGACACAAGAATTGCTTGAGCCTGGGAGACAGAGGTTGCAGTGAGCTGAGATCGGGCCACTGCACTCCAGTCTAGGTAACAGAGCAAGACTCTGTCTCCAAAATAAATAAATAAATAAATAATAAAAGAATTAAATTCTATCACTTTTGGTTTATTTGGCCATGGAGAATGTTGAAGATGTAATTTTTTTTTTTTTTTTTTTTTTTTTTTTTTTTTTTTTTTTTAGACGGAGTCTCGCTCTGTCGCCCAGGCTGGAGTGCAGTGGCCGGATCTCAGCTCACTGCAAGCTCCGCCTCCCAGGTTCACACCACTCTCCTACCTCAGCCTCCCAAGTAGCTGGGACTACAGGCGCCTGCCACCTCGCCCAGCTAGTTTTTTGTATTTTTTAAGTAGAGACGGGGTTTCATCGTGTTAGCCAGGATGGTCTCGATCTCCTGACCTCGTGATCCGCCCGTCTCGGCCTCCCAAAGTGCTGGGATTACAGGCTTGAGCCACTGCGCCCGGCGAAGATGTAATTTTTGACTCTACAAAGGGGGAAGGAGCTGTAAGCTATCCCCATTTAAAAGCCAACAAGACTGGAGGCTGATTATGGGCTCCTATACAACCCTGAGGTTTCATGATTATATAAATGAAAAGGAAATTTCTGGCCGGGCGCGGTGGCTCAAGCCTGTAATCCCAGCACTTTGGGAGGCCGAGACGGGCGGATCATGAGGTCAGGAGATCAAGACCATCCTGGCTAACACGGTGAAACCCCGTCTCTACTAAAAAAATACAAAAAAAAATTGGCCAGGCGAGGTGGCGGGCGCCTGTAGTCCCACCTACTCGGGAGGCTGAGGCAGGAGAATGGCGTGAACCCGGGAGGCGGAGCTTGCAGTGAGCTGAGATCCAGCCACTGCACTCCAGCCTGGGCGACAGAGCCAGACTCCGTCTCAAAAAAAAAAAAAAAGAAAAGAAAAGGAAATTTCTATTTGTGCCACGATGATCTAAACATTCGGCATGTGGCCGGGCGCGATGGCTCAGCCTGTAATCCCAGCACTTTGGGAGGCCAAGATGGGTGGATCACCTGAGGTCAGGACTTCAAGACCAGCCTGGCCAACATGGTGAAACCCCATCTCTACTAAAAATACAAAAATCAGCCAGGCATGGTGGCGCATGCCTGTAATCCCAGCTACTCGGGAGGCTGAGGCAGGAGAATCGCTTGAACCCTGGAGGCAGAGGTTGCAGTGAGTTGAGATTGCGCCATTGCACTCCAGCCTGGGCTACAGGATAAGACTCTGTCTCAAAAATAAATAAATAAATAATTTAAATAAATCTTTAACCTCTAAAAATACACATAAAACACCAGGCACGGTGGCTCACACCTCTAATCTCAGCACTTTGAGAGGCTAAGGCAGGAGGATCGCTTGAGGCCAGGAGTTGAAGACGAGTCTGGGCAACAGAGCGAGACCTCCATCTCTACAAAAAAATTTTTTTTAATTAGCCAGGCCTGGTGACACGCACCTGTGATCCCAGCTACTCACAGACTGAGAGGGAGGAGGATCACTTGAGCCCAGGAGGCCAAGACTGCAGTGAGCCATGATTGCACCACTGCACTCCAACCTGGGTGACAGAGTGAGACCCTGTCTCTAAAAAAAAAAAAAAAGAATACCATGATGTGCTGGTGACGAAACACCACGTGGTACCAGATGGCCAGAGCTCAGGGCTGGACAGGAAAGAACCATTCATCCCTAAAGAACAGAGAATTGGGCCAGGCGGGGTGGCTCATGACTGCACTTTGGGAGGTAGAAGCGGGCAGATCATGGGAGGTTAGGAGTTGGAGACCAGCCTGGCCAACATGATGAAACCCCATCTCCACTAAAAATACAACATTGGCCGGGAGTGGTGGTATATGCCTGTAGTCCCAGCTACTCCGGAGGCTGAGGCAGGGGAAATCGCTTGAACCTGGGAGGCGGAGGTTGCAGTGAGCCGAGATAGCACCGCTGCACTCCAGCCTGGGTGACAGAACGAGACTCTGTCTCAAGAAAAAAAAAAAAAAAAACGAGAATCAATTGGCAGCCCCACGTGCCCCCTTCTTGTGCCCAACTGAGTGTTGGCTGTGCCGTCCTGTGCAGTGACATGGAGGGAAAGCATTCTTGGGGAAAAGTAACACAAACGAGCAACTTTTAGATGATGGTAAAACAGCCTGTAGAGCCTAAGACCATCTCCCCGCCTCCTGACTTCCTTCCAATAAGATCCTCATTGCAAGAACCCATGTCGAGTGCATGGCCCTGCTTGCAAGGGCCTCGGGGCAGACCCGGGGTCTCCACCCCATACATGGGGTGCAGGAGAATTAAGGCTGTCATCGGGCGCAAGGGAGGTATCGTCATCTGCCCTGGGGCATCCTGGAGTGGGGTCCTGTGGGCATCCCTGTCGCCACGGCTGTCTGGACCTAGGTAACCCCCACCCCACGGGTTGCATTTCAGACCTCTCTCTCCTTCTCCCCTTGCCAGCGTCAAGTTCATCAACAAGATCCAGTACGTGCACAGCTTGGAAGACCTGGAGCAACTCATCCCCATGGAACACGTCCAGATCCCAGACTGCGTCCTGCAGTAAGTGGCCCCACAGTCCTCCCCGCCGTATTAGTCCATTTTCGTGCTGCAGATAAAGACCTACCTGAGACAGGGCAATTTACAAAAGAGGTTTAAGGGGCCGGGCGCGGTGGCTCACGCCTGTAATCCCAGCACTTTGGGAGGCCGAGACGGGCGGATCACGAGGTCAGGAGATGGAGACCATCCTGGCTAACACCGTGAAACCCCGTCTCTACTAAAAATACCAAAAAACTAGCCGGGCGAGGTGGCGGCGCCTGTAGTCCCAGCTACTTGGGAGGCTGAGGCAGGAGAATGGCGTGAACCCGGGAGGCGGAGCTTGCAGTGAGCCGAGATCGCCCCACTGCACCCCAGCCTGGGCGACAGAGCGAGACTCCGTCTCAAAAAAATAAATTAATTTAAAAAAGAGGTTTAAGGTAAGGGACTCACAGTTCCATAAGGCTTGGGGGAGGTGTAGCTCCCAGTCATGGTGGAAGGCGCATATCTCCCATGGCGGCAGACAAGAGAAGGCAATTTGTGTAGGGAAATTCCCCTTTATAAAACCATCAGATCTCGTGAGATTTACTCACTATCACGAGAATAGCACAGGAAAGACCTGCCCCCGTGATTCAGTGACCTCCCACCAGGTCCCTCCCACAACACGAGGGAATTATGGGAGCTACAATTCAAGATGAGGTTCAGGTGGAGAGACCAGGCAAGGTGGCTCACGCCTGTAATCCCAGCACTTTGAGAGTCTGAGACGGGCAGATCACCTGAGGTCAGGAGTTCGAGACTAGCCTGGCCAAGATGGTGAAACCCCGTCTCTCCTAAAAATACAAAAATTAGCCACGTGTGGTGGCGCACGCCTGTATCCCAGCTACTCAGGAGGCTGAGACAGGAGAATCGCTTGAACCCGGGAGGCAGAGGTTGCGGTGAGCCAATATCGCACCATTGCATTCCAGCCTGGGTAACAAGAGTGAAACTCCATCTCAAAAAAAAAAAAAAAAGATTTGGGTGGAGATACAGTCAAACAATACCACTCCAACACCCCCCTACTGGGTCCCCCTGGCTGCCAGGAGCCAGCAATGAGGGGAAACGCAGACTTGGAATGGGGGGACTGGAACCCACCAATTTATTTCCTGGAGCCCCTCAGGGACCTGGAGCTTGGGAAAGGGATGGGCAGTATCAAGTCCCGTTCTTTTTTCACTGAACGTTACATCAATACCTCCTCTAGGTTCATGCTGCAAAAATCTCCTTAAACATACATTTTTTTTATTGTGGTAAAATACACGTAACATTGAACTTGCTATGTTAGCCATTTCTTTTTTTATTTTAATTTTATTTATTTATTTATTTGAGAAGGAGTTTTGCTTTTGTTGCCCAGGCTGGAGTGCAATGGTGCCATCTCGGCTCACCACGACCTCGCCCTCCCAGGTTCAAGCAATTCTCCTGCCTCAACCTCCCAAGTGGCTGGGATTATAGGCATGCACCACCATGCCCGGCTATTTTTTATTTTTATTTTTTGTATTTTTAGTAAAGACAGGGTTTCTCCATGTTCACCAGGCTGGTCTTGAACTCCTGACCTCAGGTGATCTGCCCGCCTCAGCCTCCCAAAGTGCTGGGATTACAGGCATGAGCCACTGTGCCCGGCCTGTTTTTTGTTGTTGCTTGTTTGTTTTGAGACGGAGTCTTGCTCTGTCACCCAGGCTGGAGTGCAATGGCGCAGTCTCGGCTCACCATGTCCTCCGGCTTCTAGGTTCAAGCAATTCTTGTGCCTCAGCCTCCCAAGTAGCTGGGATTACAGGCGCCTGCCACCATGCCCAGCTAATTTTTGTATTTTTAGTAGAGATAAGGTTTCACCATGTTGGTCACGCTGGTCTCAAACTCCTGAGCTCAGATGATCCACCCGCTTCAGCCTCCCAAAGTGCTGGGATTACAGGAGTAAGGCACCGTGCCCAGCCAACACATAAACATTTATAATAAAAAATGCACCTATGGGCCAGGTGCAGTGGCTCATGCCTGTAATCCCAGCACTTTGGGAGGCCAAGGTGGGTGGATCACAAGGTCAGGAGTTTGAGACCGGCCAGGCCAACATAGTCAAACCCCATCCCTACTAAAAATACAAAAAATTAGCTGGGCATGGTAGCAGGTGCCTGTAGTCCCAGCTACTTGGGAGGCTCAGGCAGGAGAATCACTCAAACCGAGGAGATGGAGGTTGCAGTGAGCCAAATCGCGCCACTGCATTCCAGTCTGGGCGACAGTGCAAGACTCCATCTCAAAAAAAAAAAAAAAAAGAAGAAGAAAATAAAAAAGAAGAAGAAGAAAAGAAAGAAAAAAGAGATCTTGTTTCTCTGCTTGAAAAGGAAAAGGAATTCCCCCAGAAAGTGTATCTCAGGGGAAAAAGGAAGGTCGTCTCTGACATATTTTTCTTTCTTTCAGATACGAAGAGGAAAGACTGAAGGCCAGGAGGGAGAGGTGTGTGCAGAGTGGCGTCTGCTGGGGCTGGGTCGGGGCAGTGGGGGGCTGAGCTGGACTCTCAGTTAGGAAAACCCAGTGACTTCCAGGCAGCAGGGACCGTTGTCCTGTGCAGGGCGTAAGATGCTACCCCTCTGGCAAGGACGTTAAACTCAGACCTGGGTTCAACTCCTAGCTCCCACATTTAGCTGCAAGGTTACATTAAGCAAATAAAATGCTAACAACCACCTTGGAGGTTATTGTGCAAGATGAGGGACCCTTGGCAAAAAAAGGTTGAGCACAGACTTCACCCTCCATAAAGCATAGAAGTCAGGACGGCCTCAGTGGCTCACCCAGCCCTTTGGGAGGCTGTAATCCCAGCACTTTGGGAGGCTGAGGCAGGAGGATCATGTGAGGGCAGGAGTTGGAGACCAGCCTGGGCAACATGGAATAACCCCATCTCTACCAAAAATACAAAAATTAGCCAGGCGTGGTGGTGCGTGCCTGAAATCCCAGCTACTTGGGAGGCTGAGACAGGAGAAGAACTTGAACCCGGCGGCGGAGGTTGCAGTGAGCCGAGATCATGCCATGGCACTCCAGCGTGGGTGACAGAGCAAGACTCTGTCTCAAAAAAAATAAATAAATAAAAATTAGCCAGGTGTGGTGGCATGCGTCTGTAGTTCAGCTACTTGTAGGAAGACTGAATTGGGAGGACTGCTTGAGCCCAGGAAGTGGAGGCTGCAGTGAGCCATGATTGTACCATTGCACTACAGCCTGGGCAACAGAGCAAGACCCTGTTTCAAAGCAAAAAAAAACAGCCTTTATCATGCTAGATCCGATGTCAGCTTTGAAGGGAAACAGAGGCAAATAAGACAGAGTCTTGGTCCCAGAAGTTTTCTCAAATAGCAAAGGTGGGGAACGTCTCACTGGTTCGGAAAACAGGTCCCAGGGACAGGAAAATCAGAGAGGCCAGTACTAGCCGAGAGCCCCTTGGCCTGGCCAGGCTGGTCACCCTCATCACCTCGTTCTCTCTGTCCACAGCGCGAGGCCCCAGCCGGAGTTTGTGATGCCCAGATCTGAAGAGAAGCCAGAGGTGGCACCAGTGGAAAACAGGTAGGTGTGCAGGGGACTATGGGCAGAGAGCTGACGGTCACGGGAGGCTGCCTAGTCCCTTGGGGAGGCTAAGTAGGAGGCGGGTCCTTGTTCAGGGACAGAAAATGGAACTAAGTGGCTGGGCGTGGTGGCTCACGCCTGTAATCCCAGCACTTTGGAAGGCCAAGGCAGGCGGATCACATGAGGTCAGGAGTTCGAGACCAGCCTGGCCAGCATGGTGAAACCTCATCTCTACTAAAAATACAAAAATTAGCTGGGTGTGGTGGTGGGTGTCTGTAATCCCAGCTACTTGGGAGGCTGAGGCAGGAGATTCACTTGAATCCAGGAGACAGAGGTTGCAGTGAGCCGAGATAGCACCACTGCACTCAGTGACAAAGTGAGACTCCATCTCAAAAAAATAAATAAGGCCGGGCGCAGTGGCTCAAGCCTGTAATCCCAGCACTTTGGGAGGCTGAGTCGGGCGGATCATGAGATCAGGCAATTGAGACCATCCTGGCTAACACGGTGAAACCCTGTCTCTACTAAAAAATATAAAAAACTAGCCGGGCGAGGTGGCGGACACCTGTAGTCCCAGCTACTTGGGAGGCTGAGGCAGGAGAATGGCATAAACACAGGAGGCGGAGCTTGCAGTGAGCTGAGATCCGGCCACTGCACTCCAGCCTGGGCAACAGAGTGAGACTCCGTCTCAAAAAAAATAAAATAAATTTAATTAATTAATTAATTAAAAATAAAAATTATCAGGCGGGCGCAGTGGCTCATGCCTGTAATCCCAGTATTTTGGGAGGCCGAGGCGGGAGGATCACAAGGTCAAGAGATCGAGACCATCCTGGCTAACACGGTGAAACCCCATCTCTTCTAAAAATACAAAAATTAGCTGGGTGTCGTGGCTCACGCCTATAGTCCCAGCTACCCGGAAGGCTGAGGCAGGAGAATCACTTGAACCCGGGAAGCGGAGCTTGCAGTGAGCCTAGATCATACCACTGCACTCCAGCCTGGCGACAGAGCAAGACTCCATCTCATAAATAAATAAACAAATTAATTAAAAAAATAAATATCGAGGTGTGGTGATGTACACCTATAGTCCCAGCTACTCAGAAGGGTGAGGCAGGCAGATGGCTAGAGCCCAGGAGTTCAAGGCTACAGCAAGCTATGATTGCACTCCAGCCTGGGCAACATCACAAGACCCTGTATCTCTTTTTTTTTTGTTCTTTTTAAGACAGATTTTCACTCTTGTCGCCCAGGGGCTGGAGTGCAATGGTGCGATCTCGGCTCACTGCAACCTCCACCTCCTGGGTTCAAGTGATTCTCCTGCCTCAGCCTCCCGAGTAGCCGGGATTACAGGCACCCGCCACCATGCCCAGCTACTTTTTGTATTTTTAGTAGAGACAGGGTTTTACCATGTTGGCCAGGCTGGTGTCGAACTCCTGACCTCGAGTGATCCGCCCGCCTCAGCCTCCCAAAGTGCTGGGATTACAGATATGAGCCACTGCACCCAACCAAGAGCCTGTTATCTTAAAAAAAAAAAAAAAAAAAAAAAAAACAAGTAAAAAAAAAAATGGAAAATGCCCAGGCTCCCAAATAAGCAAATAATGCCCAGTCTCCGTCTCTTCTCCACAGGTCTGCTCCGGTCACAGAAGATCAGGAAACAAGGTGGGTGTCACGCACGGTGGTCTTCGTGCTGTTTTCAGAACGTCCTGCATGGACCTGTATTAGTCAGAGTTCTCCAGAGGGACAGAAAATCGAATCAGCTGCCAGCGAATATAAAGCAGGCAGGGAGCCTAATCCCAGGAAAACGGCCCCATGACTTATTGGGAGTGGGGGATACGGCACCGGGGAGGCAGGGAGGTAGTGGTTCCCTTAACCAGTCAGGCTGTCCTTGCACAACTCCAGGGGGCGCCATTACCCAGACCAGGATGCAAATGAGGCCCCAGAGTTATGCAGTGGAGCGGCCCTCAAGGAAAAACCCACACAGAGCCAGGCTCCCCGAAGCCCAGGATATGATGCCACAAAAGGGCAGACGGTCCACACTGTGCCTCCGATTCTCCACTTGGTTCTGGATGCCAAGAAAAGCCTCCCTGTGGCCGGGCGCAGTGGCTCACGCCTGTAATCCCAGCACTGTGGGAGGCCGAGGCAGGCGGATCATTTGAGATCAGGAGTTCAAGACCAGCCCGGGCAAGATGGCAAGACCCCGTCCCTACAAAAAATACAAAAATTAGCCAGGTGAGCCAAGATTGTACCACTGCACTCCACAGCCTGGGCAATAGAGTTAGACTTTGTCTCAAAAAAGGAAAAAAAAAAAAAAAAAAAAAGGAAAGAAAAGAAAGCCTCCCTGTGTGTTAGTTTCCAAGACCCTCAGATGCAATGGTTTGCCAGAGGGACTCACAGAGCTCAGTAAAGCTGTCATACTCACGGTTATGGTTTATCACAGTGGAATGGTTTATTACAGTACACTTAAAAATCAGCAAAAAGCCGGGCATGGTGGTTCATGCCTGTAATCCCAGCACTTTGGGAGGCTAAGGCAGGTGGATCGCTTGAAATCAGCAGTTCAAGACCAGCCTGGCCAAACGGGGTAAAACCCCATCTCTACTAAAAATACAAAATTATCTGGGCGTGGTGGCACACACCTGGAGTCCCAGCTACTCAGGAGGCTGAGGCAAGAGAATCGCTTGAACCTGGGAGGCAGAGGTTGCAGTGAGCTGAGATTGCACCATTGCATTCCAGCCTGGGCAACAGAGCGAGACTCCGTTTCAAAAAATATATATATCAACAAAAGGAAGAGGTGCATAGGGCAGGATCCAGGAGAGATCGGGTGGAAGCCTCCAAGTGTCCTCTCCCAGTGGGGTTGTGTGGACATCCTTTATTTCTCCCAGCAGGGATGTGTGGCAAAACACACAAAGTGCTGCCAATTAGAGAAGCTGACCCAAGCCTTAGTGGCCAGGGTGTTCATTAAGAGTCAACTACATACACCTGGCTGACTTCTGCATGGCTGTTCTTAGCCTCCAGCCCCTGCACAGATCGAGCTGATGCCACACGGCCCAAGTTTCCACCCTAAGTCACGTTGTGAGCGTATTAGTCCGTTCTCTTGCTGCTATGAAGAAATACCCGAGACTAGGTAATTTATAAAGAAAAGAGGTATAATTAACTCACAGTTCTGCATGGCTGGGGAGGCCCCAGGAAATTTACAATCCTGGCGGGAGGCACCTCTTCACTGCACAGCAGGAGAGAGAAGTGCTGAGCAAAGGGGGAAAGCCCCTTACAAAACCATCAGATCTTGTGAGAACTCACTATCACGAGAATAGCATGGGGGTAACCGCCCCCATGGCTCAGTTACCTCCCACTGAGTACCTCCCACCACAAGTGGGGTTACAGGAACTACAATTCAAGATGAGATTTGGGTGAGGACACAGCCCAACCATATCAGTTAGCATAGACTATCTGGCATGACCCACATAGACACTCCAGGCAGGATGCTCTAAGAGTTTAGAGGTTACTCACAGGAGCCAGGGAAGGACCAAACTTTTCTTTAAAATGTGTGGGATTTATCCTTGACCATACAGTTGTGTTGTTGTTGTTGTTGTTGTTGTTGTTGTTGCGACGGAGTCTCACTCTGTCATCCAGGCTGGAGTGTGGTCGCGCGATCTTGGCTCACTGCAAGCTCTGCCTTCCGAGTTCACTCCATTCTCCTGCCTCGGCTTCCCAAGTAACTGGGACTACAGGCATCCGCCACTACGCCCAGCTAATTTTTTGTATTTTTTAGTAGCAACGGAGTTTCACCATGTTAGCCAGGATGATCTCGATCTCCTGACCTCGTCGTGATCCTCCCGCCTCGGCCTCCCAAAGTGCTGGGATTACAGGCATGAGCCACTGTGCTCAGCCGACCACAGAGTTTTATACAAATCTATAAATCTCTATGCCTTACTATCCATGTGACCCAGGAAGCTCCAAGCTAAGAAATAAGCATCAAAAAGGGCCTTAGAACAGTGCTGCTTCAGGGGCACTGAGTAAAAGCAAGTTCTCAATGCATTTCTGAAAAGACCACCTCAACCCAGGCTCTCTGGAGATGAGTTCACATATACAGACAGGAAACACAAGGAAATCATCCACATGAGCAAAAGATAGCAGAGAAAACAAACAGAAGAATTAGATCCTGTCTGGAGATCCTTAGGTGGAGAAGATATAATAAGCATGTTTTAAAAGATTAAAAACACAAAAGAAGGAATTTTAAGAAGCAATAGATGAATGGATGAATGGATAGGTGGATGGATGGATGGATGGATGGATGAGTGGGCAGATGGATAAATGGATGGATGAGTGGGTGAATGGAAGGATGGATGGATGATGATGGATAGATGAATGAATGAGTGGATGGATGGATGGATGGATGCGTGGAGGTTGATTCTGTGGATGGATGGGTGGATGAATGGATGGGTGGAGGGATGGAAAGATGGATTGATGGATACATGGATGGGTAGGCAGATGGATGGGTAAATGGGTAGATGAATGGTTGGTTGGATGAATGGTTGGGTAGATGAATGGGTGGGTGGATGGATGGATGGATAGATGGACGAGTGAGTGGCTGGATGGGTGGGTAGATGGATGAATGGATGAGTGGGTGGGTGTGTGGATGGATGGATGGATGGATGGCCGGATGGATGGATAGATGGATGGGTGAGTGGGTGGGTGGGTGGATGGATGACTGAGTGGCTGGATGGGTGGGCAGATGGATGAATGGATGGGTGGGTGGGTGGACGGATGGATGGATGAATGGATGGATGGATGGATGGAAGGATGGATGAATGGATGGATGGTTGGATGGAAGGATGGATGAGTGGATAGATATGTGGGTGGCTGTATGGTTGGGTGGATGGATAGATGGATGAGTGGGTGGGTGGATGGATGGATGGATAGTTGGATGGGTGAGTGGGTGGGTGGGTGGATGAGTGGCGGGATGGGTGGGCAGATGGATGAATGGATGGGTGGGTGGGTGGATGGATGGATGGATGAGTGGATGGATGGATGGATGGATGAGTGGATGGATGGATGGATGGATGGATGGATGAGTGGATGGATGGATGAGTGGATAGATGTATGGTTGGTTGGATGGATGGGTGGATGGATAGATGGATGAGTCAGTGGGTGGGTGGGTGAATGGATGGATGGATGGATGAGTGGATGGATGGATGGATGGATGGATGGATGGATGGATGGATGGGTGGATGGATATATGGATGAGTGGGTGGATGGATGGATGGATGGATGGATGAGTGGGTGGATGGATGGGTGGGCAGATGGATGAATGGATGGGTGGGTGGATGGATGAATGGATGAATGGGTGGATGGATGGATGGATGAGTGGATAGATGTGTGGGTGGTTGTATGGTTGGTTGGATGGATGGGTGGATGGATAAATGGATGAGTCAGTGGGTGGGTGGGTGGATGGATGGATGGATGGATGGATGGATGGATGAGTGGGTGGATGGATGGGTGGGCAGATGGATGGATGGGTGGGCAGATGGATGAATGGATGGTTGGATGAATGGATGGATGGATGGATGAGTGGATGGATGGATGGATGAGTGGGTGGATGGATGAATGGATGGATGGTTGGATAGATGGATGAGTGGATGGGTGGGTGGATGGATGGATGGATGGATGTGTGGGTGGGTGGGTGGATGGGTGGATGGATGGATGATTGAGTGGCTGGATGGGTGCACAGATGGATGAATGGATGGGTGGGTGGGTGGATGGATGGATGGATGGTTGGATAGATGGATGAGTGGATGGGTGGGTGGATGGATGGATGGATGGATGGATGGATGGATGGATGGATGGATGAGTGAGTGGTTGGATGGATGATTGAGTGGCTGGATGGGTGTACAGACGGATGAATGGATGGGTGGGTGGATGGATGGATGGTTGGATGGGTGGGTGGATCGATGGATGGTTGGATGTGTGAGTGGACGGGTGGATGGATGGAGGAGTGAGTGGCTGGATGGGTTGGCAGATGGATGGTTGGATGTGTGGGTGGACGGGTGGATGGATGGAGGAGTGAGTGGCTGGATGGGTGGGCAGATGGATGAATGGATGGGTGGGTGAGTGTGTGGATGGATGGATGGATGGATGGATGGATGGATGGATGGATAGATGGATGGATGGATAGATGGATGGATGGATGGATGGATAGATGTGTGGGTGGTTGTATGGTTGGTTGGATGGATGAGTGAATGGGTAGGTGGGTTGAAACCTCCCTCCGGGCTGATTGAGGGTGCCAGTCTCCAGGGCCTGTTCTGCTGAGGTACCAGGAAGGAGGCCCTCAGAGCCACACTTAGAAAGTGCATGGCAGGAGCCAGGCCCTGAAGGTCATGTGCCACTCTTGCTGCTGGGAGCTCACCCATGCCGGGTGGGGTTATTATTTTGGATTACATACATGTGGAAGAGAGCACTTTGCACTTTTAACATTAACAGTAATAACTTGGCCTGTGTCTTTCCCTCCCTAGCATGTCCTGAGGCGACGTGAGCATAACGAAGGACATGAAAGAAGATTCCAGATGCCAGGAAACCTCTGTCAGACGCCCACTGGCCCCAGATCTCATCCTGCCTCATCCTGAGTCCCAGTCTTCCAAGGGTGCCAGCCCCTCCGTTCATCTCTGAAACCCAGCATCCTTTTCAGCTGCTTGAAAACATTGTATTTTTTTTTAACGATGCAGTATTCGTGCGTTCCAGAAAAGGGCCCAGCTCTGAGCCCCTCACCCTTCCACACTCACAAACTCTCAGCCGAGGAAGGCAAGAAGCACAGGGGGTGGCCCGTGTGGCGTCGGTGGCCTCCGCTTCTGCTCGCAGCCGCCGTGGTCAGAGCTGGATACAAGATTCAAGACCCTTCTCTTGCTTGTCACCCGCTCTGGGTTGGAGCCACAGACGCCCACCACCACCCCGGCTGGGTCTGCGTCCTTTCCTGTGCCTTTCCCCCCAGAACGCGGCCCTGGACCTAGAAGCTCAACCCCCCAGGAGGGCCACGTCCTGAGGTACCTCCTGGCCTCTGACCTTACATCCAAAATTCACACCCGTGGTTTTTCATTTGACCCGCCCCCTTCTCGCTCATAATGACACCCAGCTCCTTTGAGAGGATCAGAGCCCATTGCACAAGAAGAGCTGCTGCCAACCATCCTTGTCCTCTGATTGCAAAACGACACCCCGGTAATCTAGAACATTCTCAAGCCCCTTTAACTCAGATGCCAAGCCACAGGGCAAACCCAGTCAATACCTCCCACCAAGGAATGAGATATGTGGACCTCACTGCTCCCCCAACCCGGCATCAGGCTGGGACACACCAACGCTGTTCTGGGTTGGAACAGCAGAGGCTCAGAAGCTGGCTCTGAAATAGACCTAGCAAAAGGAAGATACAGGGTATCCAGCGGGTTCTTGTTCGGGAGGCAAATTTCCCTTGGAAAAAGAAGACAGACTTTTCTAATGTGGTCCAAATGCCGGTCACTGGTCAGATGGACTCTAGAAGCAGTGAGCTCCCTGTCTCTGGAAGCATTTAAGAAAAGGCTAGGCCGGGCACGATGACTCACGCCTGTAATCCTGGCACTTTGGGAGGCCGAGGTGGGCGGATCCCCTGAAGTCAAGAGTTCGAGACCAGCCTGGCCAACATGGTGAAACCTCATCTCTACTAAAAATACAAAAATTAGCCAGGCATGGTGGCAGGTGTCTGTAATCTCAGCTACTTGGGAGGCTAAGGCACGAGAATCACTTAAACCTGAGAGGCAGAGGTTGCAGTGAGCCAAGATCGTGCCACTGCACTCCAGCCTGGGTGACAGAGCAAGACTCTGTCTCAAAAAAAAAAAAAAAAAAAAAAACTAGTCAGGGCACAGTGGCTCATGCCTGTAATCCCAGCACTCTGGAAGGCTGAGGTGGATGGATCACCTGAGGTCAGGAGTTCGAGACCAGTCTGGTCAACATGGGGAAACCCCGTCTCTAAAAAAAAATACAAAAATTAGCTGGGCATGATGGTGCACGCCTGTAATCCCAGCTACTCGGGAGGCTGAGGCAGGAGAATTGCTTGAACCCGGGAGGCGGAGGTTGCAGTGAGCCGAGATCACGCCGCTGCACTCTAGCCTGGGCAAGAAGAGCAAAACTCTGTCTCAAAATAAAAAGCAAAGAATGGACAGTGTTTGCAGAGAGTTGCTCACGAAGTTCCCCCTAATCGTAAATGTCTTCATGTCTATCAACCTGAGCAGACAGCGAGTAGAGCGGGCACATTCTCCAGGCCCTTCTTCCTGGCTCTGTGGTTGGCCTCTCAGCAAGTGCTGTCCAGGCTGGGCCAACCAGACCCACAATTGACTGAGCCTCAGTGAAAGCGTCCAGTGCATCTCTACCTGAGACAGCAAGGAAGTGCATTCTGGGCTATTCCAACAACGATGGCAGGGGACTGGTGGTGCTTAGTGCTGAGGGGCAGCGGTACAGAAAAATGTGCCCTGTGGGACGGGGTCCTGCGCAAGCCCCGCCCCCAAAACCCAGCAGCTTCTGCCATGAGGAAGGTGGGGTTTCTGAGCGGGCTTAGGCCTGCAGGTTCCCATGGAGCCCCCGGCTGTGATGGGACACTTCTGGGTCTCAGCATTGCCCTGGGGAGGCTGGGACATTTAGGGACGTGGTAGGGTTTTAACATTTGTTTCCCAAATGTCAAATCTCGGCCGGGTGCAGGGGCTCACACCTGTCATCCGAGCACTTTGGGAGGCCGAGGTGGGTGGATCATTTGAGGTCAGGAGTTTGAGACCAGCCTGGCCAACATGGTGAAACCCCGTCTCTACTAAAAACACAAAAATTAGCCAGGCGTGGTGGCGCATGCCTGCAATCCCAGCTACTTGGGAGGCTGAGGCAGGAGAATCACTTGAACCCGGTAGGTGGAGGTTGCAGTGAGCTGAGATCAAGCCACTGCACTCCAGCCTGGGCGACAGAACAAGATTCCATCTCAAAAACAAAAAAAAAGAAAAAGAAAAAAAAATCGTGTCCTGGAACCAGCTGTGTCACGTGGAGCCTGAGAAGCAGAGGCTGATGGATGGGCCTCTCCCCACTGCTCTCCAGCAGACCCTGCTGCCCTGGGCCTGCCTCTCCCCTGCGCCCGCTCAGGGCACCTCCTTTTATAAAAGGTGTTCTGAGAATCTGCCCAAGTTCCAGGCTCTGGAGCCGGCCCTGCAGAACTGAGATCCGTGCATGGCTCAGAAGGTCCCAAACTCAGCCAGGTGCGGTGGCTCACATCCGTTACCCAGCAGTTTGGGAGACCAGCCTGGGCAGTAGAGCAAGACCCCATGGCTACAAAAAAAAAAATCAAAATTAGCTGGATATGTTGGAGTGCACCTGTCATCCCAGCTACTTGGGAGGCTAAGGCGGGAGGATTGCTTGAGCACAGGAGGTGGAGGCTGCAGTGAGCCGAGATCAAGTCACTGCACTCCAGCGTGGGTGACAGAGCGAGACCCTGTCCCGAATTCCCACCCCAGTGAATGGTGCCACTGCCAAAGCCAACACAAGATAACAGAAGTGGCCAGGCATCGTGGCTCACGCCTATAATCCCAGCACTTTGGGAGACCAACTCAAGCAGATCACCTGAGGTCAGGAGTTCGAGACCAGCTTGGCCAACATGGTGAAACCCCGTCTCTCCTAAAAACACAAAAATTAGCTGGATGTGGTGGCAGGTGCCTGTAATCCCAGCTACTCGGGAGGCTGAGGCAGGAGAATCGCTGGAACCCGGGAGGCGGAACTTGCAGTGAGCCCAGATTGTGCCACTGTATTCCAGCCTAGGAGACAGAGCGAGACTCTGACTCAAAAAAAAAAGACAGAAGCCTGCTTATCAGACTGCCCTGAGGAGAGAGGCTCCAGTAGAGAGATGCCAGCCGGGCCCAGCTGCCACGACGTGTCCCCGGTGACCAAAGGCACATGGCTCCAGCATGAATCGTTCTAACCCAACAGTGACAAGAACTCCTGGGCCTTAATCTTCGTGGAAGACTGCAGGGTGGAGGGGGGCCGCTTCCAAGTCACAGACAGGAGACACGGACAGGAAAGAACTCGTTCCACCCAATCGGACACCGAATAATTGAGTGTCTACAGCAGCAGCCAAGTGACAAGTGAGGCTCGACCTGACCCAGAAGGTGCCTGCCGGCTGAACATTCTGCCCCCACCAGAACCTCCGGGGGGTACCGCCCGTCATGCCGTGGTTCACCCACGCCCCTTTGGATCACCAGCAGTCACAGACAACAGGCAGGCGAAACTGAAGACCCCAACTCAGCCCCAGCGGACCCTCCCGAGCAAAAGAGACCCCCGGCGAGGCCAGCTGTCGGCAGGCATGCCGAGGTGGAACAGCCAGGCCCACCGTTCCCAGCTGGGCTGCAAACTGCACCACCCACAGATGGGCTTTGAGATGGATTGGTATCAGGGTGGGGGGTGTGGTTTTGGCTAAAATGTGATGGACCCCTACCCCTCCTCGTAAAAGGACGCTGGGTTTCCCTCTGGTGACACGTGGGATGCGTCAATCATAAGCCCTCCCCCAAAGTCCTGGCCAGCACGCCCATCCTTCGAACGATGAGTTTTGCGGTTTTTCAGAACAGAAATGATCATTATGATTGATGATGGTCGTGAGGTTAAGGCGTCGTCTCCGTGAGCTTTGGGGGGATTTTTATGTGGAATAAAGAAATTATCACTGAGAAGGGAGGTTTGTTCCTTTTCAATACTAGTAACAGGCAGTGCCCAGTGGCTCATGCCTGTAATCCCAGCACATTGGGAGGCGGAGGCAGGAGGATCACCTGAGGTCAGGAGTTCCAGACCAGCCTGGTCAACATGGTGAAACACTCGTCTCTACCAAAAATACAAAAATTAGCCAGTCGCGGTGGCGGGCGCCTGTAGTCCAAGCTACTCGGGAGGCTGAGGCAGGAGAATCACCTGAACCCAGGAGGCAGAGGCTGCAGTGAGCTGAGAAGGCACCACTGCACTCCAGCCTGGGCGACAGAGTGAGACTCGGTCTCAAAATAATAATAATAATAATAATAATAATAGCCTCTGCCAACCTAGTACAGTTGCCATGTTACTGAGAGGGAAACTGAGGCACAAAACGATGACATGGCTCCCCCAGGGTCACACGGGCAGTGAGTGAGGGTTCTGACGCCTGATCCTGAGCCCTATAGCTACAGTCACCCCATCCCACAGCTGGGGGTACCTGTGGCCCTCTGACGGCTGCAGAGAACTGGGGGACCGTGCTTCTCAAAGGGTTGGAGTTGGACCTCCAGCTCCAGGTGCAAGAGGAGTTGCACCATCGTCCATGCCTGGGACTTTGGGACCTGCTGGTGACATAGACATCAAGGTGGGTATGACATGGCCACCGCACAATGTCCCACTGGGTGGACGGAGAGAACTGGCAGGTGTGAGGCCACCTGGGCATATCACCCTCTGTCCTGTGACGTCAGACCAGGGGCCCTTCCTGGAGGGGCTGGCTTGGGAGAGGTGTTTATGTCAGCAGGTGCCGTTTAGGGGAAAAGGTGGGGGTCTTCGTGGGTGGATGGAGGGGATAAAGAGGGTGGAGCTGGTGCTGGGATCCTGGGGAGCCACTCCCAGTTTGGAGGTGACAGCCCCCTCCTTTATCCCACTGCACGGAGTCTCTGATTACCCTGAGAGGTTTCTTGAACATTTCATTCACAGCCAGGCTCGGTGGCTCACGCCTGTAATCCCAGCACTTTGGAAGGCCGAGGCAGGTGGATCACTTGAGGTCAGGAGTTTGAGGCCAGCCTGGACAGCGTGGCGAAACCCCATCTCTACTAAAAATACTAAAATTAGCCGGGCGTGGTGGTGCGTGTCTGTAGTCCCAGCTACTCAGGAGGCTGAGCCAGGAGAATCGTTTGAACCCGGGGGGGGCGGAGGTTTCAGTGAGCAGAGATCGTGCCACTGCACTCCAGCCTGGGCAACAGAGACTCCGAACCCCCCCACCAAAAAAACAGAGAAGGAAACCTCACTCCTTCATGCATTTCGGGGCACGGGGGGTCCAGTCCCTCACGCCACTCCCAGCCCAAGGGGCGGGCTCAACCCAGGGACATGGGGCCTTCCTGGGAACCAGGAGGAAGGGACCTTTCTGATCAGAGAACCAACACACAAGCAGCTGTCAGCCAAGCCAGCAGGAGGAGGGATGTCCCCGGCAGAGTGACCCATGGGGACCAAGGCCTGGGGCAGGCAGAGCTGGGGCAGCCAGAGAGGTGTCCGAGGGCAGGATCAGCTGTCACCAGTGTTTCAGAAAAACCCAAGACTAAATTAAAGCCTTCATCGTTTGGTCACTTTCTTTTTATTATCATTACTACTTTTTTTTTTTTTTTTTTTTTTTTTGAGTCACTCTGTCGCGCAGGCTGGAGCGCAGTAGCACAATTTCAGCTCATTGAAACCTCTGCCTCCTAGGTTCAAGCAATTCTCTTGCCTCAGCCTCCCGAGTAGCTGGGATTACAGATGCCTGCCACCATGCCTGGCTAATATTTGTATTAAGTAGAGACAGGGTTTCACCATGTTGGCCAGGCTGGTCTCGAACTCCTGTCCTCAAATGGTTCTCCCACTTTGGCTTCCCAAAGTGCTAGGATTACAGGTGTGAGCTATTGTGCCCAGCATTTTTTTTTTTTTTTTTTTTTTTTGAGACGGGGTCTCGCTCTGTCACCCAGGCTGGAGTGCAGTGGCCGGATCTCAGCTCACTGCAAGCTTCGCCTCCTGGGTTTTTACGCCAGTCTCCTGCCTCAGCCTCCCGAGTAGCCGGGACTACAGGCACCCACCACCTCGCCCGGCTAGTTTTTTGTATTTTTTAGTAGAGACGGGGTTTCACCGTGTTAGCCAGAATGGTCTCGATCTCCTGACCTCGTGATCCGCCCGTCTCGGCCTCCCAAAGTGCTGGGATTACAGGCTTGAGCCACCGCGCCCGGCCACTTTTTTTTTTTTTTTTTTTTTTTTTTTTTTTTGAGACGGAGTCTCACGCTGTTGCCCAGGCTGGAGTGCAGTGGCGCGATCTCGGCTCACTGCAAGCTCCGCCTCCCGGGTTCCCGCCATTCTCCTGCCTCAGCCTCCTGAGTAGCTGGGACTACAGGCGCCCACCACCGCGCCCGGCTAATTTTTTGTATTTTTAGTAGAGACGGGGTTTCACTGTGGTCTCGATCTCCTGACCTTGTGATCCGCCCGCCTCGGCCTCCCAAAGTGCTGGGATTACAGGCTTGAGCCACCGCGCCCGGCCCGGCCACTTTTTTAATAAATCAAGGTGAGAGTCACTTAACATAAAATTCATCTTTTTTTTTTTTTTTTTGAGAGACAGAGTCTCGCTCTGTCACCCAAGCTGGAGTGCAGTGGCGCGATCTCAGCTCACTGCAAGCTCCGCCTCCCAGGTTCATGCCTTTCTCCTGCCTCAGCCTCCCGAGTAGCTGGGACTACAGGCGCCCACCACCACGCTCGGCTAATTTTTTTTTTTTTGTATTTTCAGCAGAGACGGGGTTTCACCGTGTTAGCCAGGATGGTCTCCACCTCCGGACCTCGTGATCCGCCCACCTCGGCCTCCCAAAGTGCTGGGATTACAGGCATGAGCCACCGCACACAGCCAAAATTAACCATTTTTAAGAGTACATTCTGCAGTACTCAGTACCTTCACAATGTTTTGCAAATACCGCCTCTATCAAATTCCAGAACATTCCATTACCCCAAAAGCAAATCCGTCCCCAGCAGCCACAGTCATCCCCACCCACCTCCCCCAGCCCCTGGCACCCACGCCTCCCCTTCCTGTCCCTGTGGATTGGCATGTCCTGGGCACTTCATGTAAATGGGATCACGCGCCGTGTGGCAGTGACGTTGCTAATCAATACCCTGGGATCTGAGATTGCTTGGGGACTGGCAGGCATTTGTAGCTCCTGTGACACCTCCCTCTCCTTCCTGCCGGGGTGGGCTGCCACAGGGAGGCCTCCCAGAGGTGCCCTGCCAGGGCCTTTATCTGGGCATGTCACTGTCACCTGAGGCCCCAGGCCACGTGACCCACCAAGAGGCTGCCAGGAACTGCTTGCCACCGAAACTGGGCCAGAGGTGAAGCCCAGGGGCCGGGCTTTCCTGGGTGTCTATCTGAGCACCTGGAGGAGCTCAGGCCACAAACACAGCCACCCTGCCACACTGCCACAGATCCTGTGGCTGAGGGACTGCTTTTCTGAGCTTTCCTCATGAATACCCCAAGATTTCCAGTCCATTTTGCAAGAGCTCTTGAAGCCCAGGCTCACAATTTTGTTAACAGGACTCATAAAATACATCACTGGTCGGGCATGGTGCCTTAAGGCTGTCATTCCAACACTTTGGGAGGCTGAGGAGGAAGGATCACTTGAGGCCAGGAGTTCGAGACAGGCCTAGGTAATGTTACAAGATCTCATCTCTTAAAAATTCTCTCTCTCTGTGGTGTATTGATCTCTTTTTTTTTTTTTTTTTTTTTTTTTTTTTGAGACGGAGTCTCACGCTGTTGCCCAGGCTGGAGTGCAGTGGCGCGATCTCGGCTCACTGCAAGCTCCGCCTCCCGGGTTCCCGCCATTCTCCTGCCTCAGCCTCCTGAGTAGCTGGGACTACAGGCGCCCGCCACCGCGCCCGGCTAATTTTTTGTATTTTTAGTAGAGACGGGGTTTCACTGTGGTCTCGATCTCCTGACCTTGTGATCCGCCCGCCTTGGCCTCCCAAAGTGCTGGGATTACAGGCTTGAGCCACCGCGCCCGGCCGTGTATTGATCTCTTACTGCATACAGGCATACACACCTGGCCGTCCTGTCACCCCACCTTCCTAGTCACTTCCCATCCTCTGATCACCCCCTGCTCCTGGGCTACAATTCTCCACTTTTCCTTGCATTGGTGGAAGGGGAGAAGATTGAATCCAATCTCCCTCCCATACTACAAAGCCCCATGGTAGTAGTCCCCCACCCCCCTCAATAAAGTCAGCCTTACTGTTTTAAGAAGCATCAGAGGCCGGGCGCGGTGGCTCACGCCTGTAATCCCAGCACTTTGGGAGGCTGAGACGGGCAGATCATGAGGTCAGGAGATCGAGACCATCCTGGCTAACACAGTGAAACCCCGTCTCTACTAAAAATACAAAAAAAATTAGCTGGGCGTGGTGGCGGGCGCCTGTAGTCCCAGCTACTCGGGAGGCTGAGGCAGGAGAATGTAGTGAACCTGGGAGGAGGAGCTTGCAGTGAGCCGAGATCGCACCACTGCACTTCAGCCTGGGCGACAGAGCAAGACTCTGTCTCAAAAAAAAAAAAAAAAAAGAAGCATCAGAAAAATTATTTTCTGGCTGGGAGAGGCATCCCATGCCTATAATCCCAGCACTTTGGGAGGCCGAGGCGGAGGAATCATCACTTGAGGCCAGGAGTTCAAGACCAACCTGGGCAACACAGCAAGACCCCATCTCTACAAAAAATTAAAAAGTTAGGTGTGGTGGTGCGAACCAGTCGTCTCAGCTGCTCGGGAGGCTGAAGCAGAAAGATCGCTCCAGTCTGAGAGTTTGAGGCTGCAGTGAGCCGTGATCACATCACCACACTCCAGCTTGGGCCACAGAGTGATACCCTGTCTCAAAAAATTAAAAAATGTAGGCCGGACGTGATGGCTCACACCTGCAATCCCAGCACTTTGGGAGGCCTGAGGCAGGCGAATCAACTGAGGTCAGGAGATCGAGACCA